TTGTCAGTGGACTGAGGAGTTTGCGATCTTTCAGATGTGTCGTTGGCTTGCTAATTGCTGCTCGAACTCCAGCTGTGTCAGTTTTTTGGCTTCCCCCCTTGTTGATATCCCCCCACCCCACACCCCAAGGGGCAGAAGAAAGAAAAATTAAAAAAAAAATAAAATCAATGAGTGTTGTGTATTAGGTCTTTTAAATGGAGTATTAGATCATTATTTTTTTGTGATGTTTTACTGGTGTTACTTTTCCAGTTTCATAGATTCTTCTTGAGAATTCTTTGGAAGTTCTTTGTATTATTATTTTATTAGTGCCTAGTTAGCTTATGCTTTCTAGATGAGTGTTACAAACTTGCCCTCTGTAAAAAAAGAAGTTTGGCTACTGATTGAATACTTGAGGAGTATTTTTGTTCTCCATGTCTTCTGCTCATTAAGAAGGGTTGTTTGAACTTTGAGTTTGAATTTCTTAGCAAGTGGATAAGATAAACAAAGGGAGAGTCTTGAAGTCAAATCCAAGAGAGGCCATCCAAGTTCGATCTTGTGTAAAGCACCGACAAGAACATTAACCATTGAGCAAGAAGCTTTGACGATTCTTGGAAGCTTGGGTAAGGGAGTGTGGTTGAAGAGGATTAAGGTTTGGCCAATTATGAAGACTTTTTCAGCAACATGGACTCTTAGAATCTAAATTTGGAGCTTAATTTATTATTAAATCGCTTGAGGATAAATTAGTTATTCTATAATCTCTTGTTGTATCTTATCATTTTGGGTAGTTTAATTTAATGTAAACTAGTCTAAGGAGGGGATAGACCCACGTGTAGGTAAGAAGGAAGGCTTCTTTATTCTTATCCTGCTGTCATCCCACTGGAGTGAAGTGGTTTGCCTAGGACACTGTACATTTTATCTTGAGTCATGAGTGTGAGGGCTGACTAGGCAAGTTATTCTCTTCTAGGCCGCATGTAGTCCGTGTGAGAGAAAAATAAACAGTGGTATTGGTTTGCATCTGCATTCTCTCAAAAGGCCACAGTGACAGTAATGTAGAGATATGGAATTCATTGTTCTACCAATGATCATTAGATTTGGGAATGCCTTGTCCAACCAATAATCTCTCTCTGGAATTTATCCTGATGCTTGATTTACAAAGCTGGTGTCCAGCATTATATTGACTTCCAAGTTATGATAGGTAGCAATGTAAGACATCTTAGTTAAGAATCTTAAGTTCATGTAATTTGGCATTGCTATTGTTGAAACTTACATCTTTTGATTGGTCCTTTAACATCGGTTCACTCACAACGAACTTTCTGTATTCATATTGTGGGAGGTATGCAAGTACAACCACTCTGTGGTTGCGTTCTCTTTTCTTTACTCAGGGTAGAATGATTCTGCAAGCTTTGGATGTTGAATGGGAAGTCATTTAACTTGTTGATACTTTACGTTGGTTTATTGATATCTCTCTAATTTAATAAGGTTGCTGCCTGTTGACAGAACATGGGCAGAGAATATGCTAGATCTGGATAACATTTTCTTTTCACCAGTTGGTATCATCACCTACTCCTAACCTGTGACTGGTGAAGGGGGCCTCATGGATGTCATTCCAGTTTGTAACTATTATTAAATGCATTTCTTGAGTACACTCTCTGTTGGCTCTATATCTTAATAGGTAAATAAGAATACAAATTATGTTGCGTAGTGGAGCTCAATTATGGAAGAAAGAATGCTCTTCTTTGACCATTTGTATAGGGCGGTCAATCTTCGATAAATGTTGTTAACAATTAGAACTACAAATCTTCATGAGGAGACACTGTGAATGATGGTTTGCTTCCTATTTATGTGCCCCATGAATGCTATGTAGCACCATTACAAAAAAAGCTTGTGGTTGCACTGTAGCAGCATCTAATCCCCCCTCCTAAAGTTTTGCTTTGTAGAGTTGTTGGAGCACAGGAATGGAGCTCTTGTCGATTCAACAGCACAATCAACGGCGGGAAGCGTGCCAAGTGCCAAGTGCAAAGCCCGTGCCTCTCTTTTTGGGACTATTTTTGTAGTTCCCACTGACGCTTAGTGAAGTGGCCTACGCATCTACACCTTTTATATTCGTTTTTACAAACATTAGAATAATGGATTGCACTGGAAAATGGTGATAAAGAAAAGAAAGAAGGCAGCATGTTGGTTGTTACCAAAATGCCAATTGATGATAGCTTTGAAACCGAGCAATCTTTGGCCTGCAACACCAACTATAGGTGGTAGGCGTGCTTGAGCTTCACGTGCTGTGTTAAGACTTGAAACAAAACCCAGGCATTGACCTTGGCCCACTCTTCTCACTTGGTAACATTTCAATATTGGGTGAGCAAGATTCTCTCTTTGATCTAATCAATTGAATAGGAAATTAATTTATATCTACACACTTGTGACATTTCTATATTAAGCTACTGGATTCTCTCTTAATCTAACCTATTGAATACACTTACTTTTTAATTGTATTCACATATATGTACACACGCATTTATTCCGTTGATATCTTTATTATTCTTTTAAATGTCCTCTTGTTTTGTGCGTCATTTTTAATTCTGGAACTATAGTTTAAATAGTGAACTATTTATTTTTTGTATATTGTATCACTGATACAAGAGTAAGAATTCGAATATGTGACTCTTTAGGAAAGGTAGAAATATTTTGATTGTTCAACTATTGGGGCCTTAAAACACGAGTTGAATGTAATATCACATGTAATCATTGTTATGATCAAGCGCCTCTTGAGATGTGTAGCAAAATTTATCCATTCTTTAACCAACAAAAAAGTTCATATCCCGTGTTCATCGGTTCTCAAACGCTCTCTTGTTTGAAGCTCCATAGAGATGAGATGGGAATGACAAATCCACTTTCTGTTGGTGGTATAATGTTCTAAGGTTCTCGCTTTAGCATTTCACTTTAGTTTCTTTATTTCATAGAGTTCCAAAAGCTGCCACTATAGAGCTTTGAAGGAAGCATCTTGTATCGTGTTTGTTTAATTCAATGATGAAAATGATGGTGATAATTACGTAACAAAACTCATCAATCTATATTGAATTTTTGACGTTATCATGCGCATAATCAGATTTTGAATTTGTTGGTTTTTTTTTTCCGTAATGAAACCTGAAGAGAGGAGAAGGGGTTGGTTGACCATGGCTAGAATTGAAGATCGATGTGATTACGTTCATAATTACTCATTATAATGATCATTTTAAAATGAACTGACGTTACAAGAAAGTAAAGGCGCATTTTTCCATGTAATAATAGTATATGGCGAAGGAGTCAATCAAATTTTTGTTCTTGTGTTCAAACATTGGACAAAATCCTTATATTTAATCTTTCGGGGTTGCTATCAAAAATTGCTTTGAAAATTTGGGACCCCACAAGCCGTATTCTTGGGAAGGCTTTTCTTCCTATAGGGAATTCGAGAATCAAACTTGGCTGCACTTTCGAGGAATTCAATTTCCGTTTCGATCCTCAGGAGAAGTTCGACGGAAAAGGTAAGCTGTCTTCAGCTTCCGCGTTCTTCTCCATGGCTATTTTGATGGTGTCAGTCCGCTGCATTTCCTCCTTCAATCTTCGAGAATCCATTGCTGCTACCGAGTACTTGAACTTTCTCCAATAGTCTGATAATAGAGTTCATGTATAATTTTGTACTTATTTATCTGGGTTTCGCTCTGAACTTGCTTCTTCTTCATTTTCTTTTTCTTTTGTAGGTCTGGTGATTGTTTTCATGTTACTTCGGAGCCTTTGATGATCTGTTTTTAGCTATAATCTTTGGGTTGTGCTTGAATCGTAGCTGGAGAATACTATTTGACTTTGCTGAGCTCTATAATCTTTTATTTGCTCTGAGGAGTTGAAACAGAGCAGTGGAGGATTCTGGTGATTGGATTAGTGAAGTTCGATTGATTCAAAAGTTTAGTTCGTCGGAATTGAACTTGAGAAGATTCAATTTGATCATGGGATAGGCTAAAGTATGATTATCGAGCAAAATATGCAGATTGAATGAGTTTCATCGGAAGATTAAGTTCCGTGTGAGTTAACCGAGATTTTTTCCTTTTTTTTCTATCTCTGAGCTTGGTTCTCTCGAAAATGGCATCCGTATCACCCGCGCCAAATTCATCTCCATCGCCGACTTCTCCCTCCACTCAATCTCCGCCGCCTCCCGTCGTATCTACTCCGCCGTCCAATTCTCCGCCACCATCGCCGCCACAACATCCTTCTACGCCGCCGCGACAATCGCCGCCTCCGAATTCTTCTGACCC